TGTTCAAAAAGTCAACGTCATAAGTATAAGTTGGGAGAAGAGTGTTTAACCATATGAAGGAGTGTCACACGGAAAGGATAGACTTGTTTTTCCTGGACACAGAGGACTGGTGGGTGGAAGCGGCAAAAAAGACAAATTTAGGCCTAAAATAAGGACAAATTTCTTACCGATCTGCACTATCTAAAAAAGCGGAATAGGCTGCCTTGGTATTGGAGGTCTTTAAGCAAGGCTAGATGACTACTAGTCAAGGAGGTTGTGTTACGTAGTCTTTCTCATGTGGGCTGCACTGGATGACCTGTGAGGTAGGTAATGCGAGTGTTATTCTCCCCATTTTACAGATGAGGAAACTGAGGCTCAGAAAGTCAAAGCAACTTGCTCAGGGTTCTATAGCTAGTGTCTGAGCTGGGACTCAAACATAAAACTGTCTGATTTAAAGATTAGTTCTTTCCCCAATACAGCACAGTAATGAGGGGTTGAATTAGGGTGGGGGCAGTTGGTCAGATGTGAAAGGACACCAAGGAACTCACTGACACTTTGGTCCCCTGTTCTGGAGTTCAAGAGACCTGGCTTGGAAATCTGGACGCTTGGTTTTTGATTCAATTCAACACACGTTGAGTGAGTACCTGTTATATGCAAGGAAGGCAGCTGGAGTCTAGTCCTTAGTGGACAGAAAGCTGGCTTTGGAGACAGGAAGATCTGGGCAGTGGTCTAGGCAATTCTCTAAAATGGTAAGATCCCAGCCTCCAGAGCTGTGTGAATGGTCAAGAGAGTTTCTGCTTCTGGGAGTTCCGTATAGCAATAACATGACAGGTCCACTTCCTATTCTAATTATATGCAAGCCCTGTGCAAGCTGTTGGGAAGATAAAGATGTATGAGACACAGGTCTTGCTTGCATTCTAATATAACTGTGACAAGAATTAGGAATTCACTGATGCTGAGGGGAGATAGGGCAGCTAGGTGTCACACAGGGCCTGGAATCAGGAAGACCTGGTTGAAATCCTGGCCTCAGACACTTAGTAACTGTGTGACCCTGGGCAAGTCACTTAACTCTTATTTGTCTCAATTTCCTCATCCGTAAAATAGCTGGAGAAGGAAATGGCAAACCACTCCAGTACTTTTGCCGGGAAAAGCCCAAATGGGGTCACGAAGAGTCAGACACAGCTGAAATGACTGAACAACAATAAATACTAAGGGGAGGTTTTCAATCCCTTCACGAGCCTGTGGATGCCACCTGAATGAGAGTTTTAGAAATGTCATCACTAATGCCTGGAGAAGCTAACCTAGCTCTGTCAGTTTCTAGCCTGACTGCTCCCCACTGGCAATCTCTCATTTGGTTTCCATACCCAGAACATATGAGAAGCTGGAGGTATCCCTGGAAGGTGACCACCTCAGTAACTTGGAACATTCTTGTCTCCCTGGCCTGTGTCTCCATCTCTAATATGGGACAACAACCTTGATCTTTTAGTCAAAAGATCTGAGTTCAAGTGGAATCCTGGTATTGACAATTGCTGCTTATGTGATTTTGAGTCAATCAATTTCCTTACTGTAGGAAATGTGGTTGGAAATAAGGCTTCTGCACATCACTCATCAGGGTGATGAGCAGCTGCTGGGGTATTGACAGCTGTAGGCTGTTGACATGGAAATGTGGGGAATGGGAGATGTAATTAGGGGTAGAGACTCATGTTGGGGAAATTAGGCACTCCGGATAGGCTGTAAACTCTGCATTACCCAGCCAATGGGGAAACAGGGGAGGGAACTGTGAGTAGAGCCTAGGAATAAAAAGCTCTGCTCTCCTCTCTGTAAGGTGTGCCCACACATGGAACACCTGCCTTATTAGGGCATTAATAAAGACAATTTTTTTTCTGGTTCACCAATGGCTTCATGGAACTTTTGTTGCTAACACTCACTGAACCTCAATTCCTCAGCTAGCTAATCCTCTAGGGATTGGACTAGGTCAATGATTCCCTATTTAACTTCAAAAAAAATTTAATGGACACCCAACATGATAATAATTGTAATTTTGATTCATTGAATCAGAAAATATACAATAAACAAAGAGCTGCAATGAATTCAATGACATGTTTCAGTGAATTTGTATTTTATTAATCACAATAGTATCTACATATGTTTGAAAGATAGCAGTAGATGAGTGAGGCATTATTTATTCAGTCTTAAGAAGGTCTGCTTGCTTATTAATTATCCTTATCAAATCTGCAGAGGAAACAAAGCTTATAGGCTGAGTGATAGTTAATAGGAAATCAGGCAGCTAGGTGGTGCAGTGGGTAAAGTGCTGGGCCTCAAGTCAGGAACCTCTGAGTTCAAATTGGCTACAAATAGTAGATGTGTGAGTCGAAATCTCTCCCAGACTGTTTTCTCATCTGTGAAAGGGGGACGATGATAATAATGGCATTAGTCAGAATAAGGTATTTGTTCTTTCCAGTTTTCAGAGATTTGAAATCTGGTTGAATTGAAGAATGCCTCAATCCTCGGCCTGGTTCCACATTCAGTGGACCCCTTTGCAATTACTCTGTGGCTTACAAGGTTTTGTAGCCAGGACTTCCAGGAAGCAAGAATTAAATGTTCTCTAGTGGCCCTTTCAGCTCTAAATTCTATAATCTGTAGAATAGGGTAATACTCACCCTACCTTCCTCACAGGATTATTGTGGAAAATGGGTTATAAATCTGAAAACCCTACAGAAACATTCCTATTGTGATGATGATGTGTATACATAGGTAGGAAACTTCTGGTGTAGAAATTCTCTCTATCAGATGGGCAACTCAGGGTGCCTGATACTACTGTTCCCTCAGGGAGGCTATAATATAATACATACTTATTTGTTGTCTGACACTTTGTGACCCCATTTGGGGGTTTCTTGGTAAAGATACTGAAGTGGTTTGTCATTTCCTTCTCCAGTTGATTTTACCGATGAGGAACTGAGTCAAGCAGGGTTAAGTGACTTGCCCAGGGTCACACAGCTAGTAAATATCTGAGGACAGATTTGAACTCCGGTCTTCTGACCCCAGCCTCAGGGGCTCTATCCACTGCACCATCTAGCTGCCCAATAACAGCATAATAAAATATTTATTTCTCCTCTAGATCTAGAGGAAGGCAACCAAGGTCTTGGATATCTTCCTGAGAATTCAGTGAAGGCCATGGACAAGAGTTAGGGTGAGAAGACATCGATGCCTTGCTACTTGCACCTTTGGAGGGAGTACCCACTCATACCTATGAAATTACAGATCCATGATATGCTGGGAAATCTTTAATAACTAGCTCTCTCCCAAAAGATGCAGAGAACTCACTTTTAAGTTTTGCATTATTAGCATTTTTTCCATCACTTTTTAAAGCCTCAACAATCAACAAAATAAATCAAGACATGATTTCTAGCATCTGCTATTTTTCACTGAAAATTTAACAGTCAGTGTTGGTATTGAACTGGCTCCAGCATGCCCCCGTTCAGAGGTCTTTTCCCACATTGGCTCTGCATTTATATCGGTCCAACCTGTACCCGGATGGTGTTCTCCCCTCTTGCTCCGTCTTCCTTTACCACACAAAGAAAACCAGCTAAAGAAAGATTGGCTGAGACCCATGTAAAATCTTGTCATACTTAGTGCATTAAATACAAAGTCTGCCATTAATTAATTCCGTAAAATTTATTAAGCACCTACTGTGTGCCTGGCTTTGTGGGGATATAAAATGAGGCAAGACAGTTCCTGCCCTCCAGGAATTTACTATCTGATAGGGGAGACAACATGCAAACAAATATATACAAAACATGCCACATACAGGATAAGTAGGAAATATTTAAAAGAAGGAAAGCATTGCAATCAGGAGGGATTAGGGAAAGATGCAACAAACATTATTCATTTTGTTACTAATAACAAACAGTTCACATTTCTACAGGCTTTAGGGCTTACAAAAATCTTTCGAGGTGGGTAGTGGACGCATTATTATTATCCTCATTTTATGGGTGAGGAAACTGCCTTTCAGAGAAAAATGACTTGCCCAAGGTCACAGAGCCAGATAGAGTGGAGCTATTTTCTCTCTCCTGACTCCAAGCCCAGCCCTCTATCCATTGCATACATTTCAGCTGCTTCTCCACTGTTTGAAGAAGCACAGGCTTGAGGGTGGGTGGCATCCACAGAGAGGACTCCACAGTCCTCCAGGGACCACCAAAGGAAGAGGTCAGATTTGCAGAAGGGAGAAGGGGAGGGAGAGGAATGCCTGGGCAATGACGTCACGTGCCAGCCGGGAGATTTCCCCCGTCTCTTGCGTCACCTTCACATTACGTCATCCCAAGCAAGCACTCTCCCTTCCCCCTACTCCCTGTAGGGTTTGCTCACGTGTATCAGTCCAGCTCCCCTCCTCCCCTCGGCCCCTCCTCCTCCTCCTCCTCCTCGACTTAGTCCACCTACTTCAGGGGAGAAATGGGGGGAGGGCAGGCTTAGTCCGGACACCAGCAGCCTCCAATGGGAGAGGCTGAGAATTCTGGGGACAGGAGGCGGCTGCCGGTGGAGATGGAAGGAGGGGTGTGAGAGTGAGGGGAGGAGAGAGGAGGAGGAGAGGTACTGGGCTCTGGAGCAGCTGACAATAGAGACGACTAGAGGGAGGAGGAGGAGGAGTGGGGAAGAGGAAGGGCAGCGAAAGAGGCGGCAGAGGGTAGGGGGCTGCATTGTGAAGGCACCCCCTCTCCCTTCCTCTCGCCCGGGACCCTGCGAGGAGAAGGCAGCAGAGAAAGGAGGGCGGGGGAGACGAAGGGGCCGTCCGGGCAGCTGGGGAGAGAACGGCGGAGGGGCGGACAAGAGAGGGAGAGAGAGAGGGAGAGAGAGAGAGAGAGGGAGAGAGAGAGAGAGAGAGAAGAGGAGAGGAGAGGAGTGGAGTGGAGTGGAGTGTAGGGGAAGCGAGGGGGAAAAGGGAGGGAGGGCAGAGAGACTGAGAGCGAGGGAGTGATCCAGGGAGAGAGGGAGTGATCGAGGGAGAGGGAGTGATAAAGGGAGGGAGGGAGAAAAGAAGAGAAGCCGGGCTTGCGGCGGGAGCAGCGGCAGCAGCAGCAGCTGGAGGAGCGAGAGAGAGAAGGTGAGTCCCGCGGTCGGGATGGGCGTGCTCGGCTCGGGGGTTGAGCTTTGTGCCAGCCCTCACTTGAAGACCGGGTGGATTTCAGAGGGTGCGGGGAGCCGGCGTCCTTGGCTGGGTGAGCCCTGGAGAGGGGGTGTGTATGGCGACTGTTCTGCCCCTCTCCGTGGAGAGGATCCCGCACTCTGGTCCGGGCTGCTCTTCCTTTCCCCGCAGTCCTCACCCGCAGCTCATTGACCGGTGGGGAAAGGGGCGGGGGGGGGGTCCTCCTCCATCTCGGTACAAGTTCCCCTGAGGCTGAGGATGGGACTGGGGCTGGGGGAGGGGCGCCAGGTGAGCTGGCTTCAGACTAGGGGTAGGGGGTAGGGATGGGGTGGTGGAGGGGAGTGGAGCGGCTGAGTTAGGACTGAGTGTAGAAAGTTTGGAGCGTGTGCGGGTCTGGGGCAGGCTCCGCAGGGCAGCCACCCTTAATCCCCGTTCCCAGTTCAGCTGCGCGGGGCAGCCTAACAAAGACCCGCTTGCCCCTTGGGGTCCCTGTCCTGCCTCTGGCTCCGGCTAGGACGGAGTGAGGAGCCTGTGGGGGAGGGGCAGCAGAGCCCCGTGGGTGGCTGGGTCTACCCTGGGTGGTGGGGGGAGCATCTTTTTGCTGGCTGCGGGGACGGGGTGGAGGTGGGGAGCTGGGCGCAGGTACAGGTTTGGCGACTTCCTCCAACTTTGTTTGCTTTTCTTGAGTGACAGACTCTGCGGGTCTGCAAGGTTTAATCCAGCCTGTTTGGACAGCTCTAGGTATTATCAATCAGTCAGTCAAAAAAGTTATTAAGCGCCTGGTACTGTGCCAGGTACTGTGCTAAACGCTGAGGATGTAAAAAGAGGCAAAAGACAGTCCCTGCCCTCAAGGAACTCACCGTCTAATGGAGGAGACAAGCAGATAAATATGAACAGACAAGCGATAAATGGGAAATAATTAAAAGAGAGGGGGCACTAGAATTGAGAGGAGCTTCAAAGGTTTCCTGTAGAAGATGGGATTTTAATTTGGATTTACAGGAAGCCAGGAGAGGCTGGGAAGCAAGCTTATTCCCGAAGTAAGCTGGGCTCAGGTAGGCCCAGGAGTGATCTCCTTAATCCTAGGATCAGAGGGGTAACAGCTGGGAGGGACCTCAGAGCTAGTCCAACCCCTCACCTCCCTTTCATCGAGGTGGAAACTGAGGCCCAAGGAGGTTGTAAGGAAGAAAGCACTGCTACCAAGTGACTTAACTGTGATTAGAATCCAGACCCTCAGACTCCAAACCCAGCATCTTTGCAGGACTCCTCTTTGTCTTCCAAAACCTAATCTGGATTTTACTTAAGTAAATATTTATTAAGCACATACTATATGTAAAGTCCTGGATCAGGTCTTGGGATTACAAGGGGGAAAAAAAGAAGAGTTCACTTTTCTATCACCCCTTAAAGTTTACTAAGGGCTTTCCTCACAAAAGCCCTGTGAGGTAGAAACTAAGTTGTATTATCTCCATTTTTACAGATGAACAAACTGAGGTGCAGAAAGGTAAAAGTGACTTGTCCAGGGACTGGAATCCAGGTCTTCTGACCAGTGCCCTTTTCACTGTGCCTTGCAGATCCTAGAACTGAGAGGGTCCTTACCCTCAAGGAGAGTCAGCTTGGAGTCGGGGGATGTGGTGCTGCAGTTGGAGTCAGGAAGACCTGTATTCAAATCTACCTTCCTGTCTGTGTGATTATGAAGAAGCCATCTCACCTCTCTGAGCCTCATTTTTCTCATCTATAAAATGGGACAATTACAACCTGTCAAACCAACTTTACAGGGGATCAAGTGAAATAAAATAGGTGAAGGGCCTCAGTTAAAATGTGCAAATGGAAGTTAGAAAATATCATCTGCTAAGGGAGATACAACATACATAGACTAATTCAAACTGCAAGGAAAGGAGAAATTAGTCCACCAGTGAGCACCTACTATTTGCCAGGCACTGTGACTACAAAGATAAAATACCTCCCACCCACCAAAGGCAAAGACCTTGCCTTCAAACAACCTGTGCATACATAAGCGCGCACACACGTATATGTGTGTGTACTTATATATGTACGTATATGTGTGTGTGTATGTAAACTGCAAGGTTAGGAGAGGGGGAAGGCACAAAGAGCCTTTGGCAGGTATTTGCCAGGTGGCTCTTTAGTTGAACTTAGTGATTCTAAGATAGGTGAGTAGGCAGAGCGCTCCAGGAATGGAGGAGAGCAGGTGCAACGACAGGAGACAGAATGTCATAAACAGGCAGTAACTGGCAAGCAGTGTGGAAAGGTAGGCTGGAGTCAGATTGTGAAGGACTCTAAATGCCAAACAGAGCATCTTATTCTGGAGGCAAGAAGAAGCACCTATAACTTTTAGCAGGGTAGTGCTTGGGGTCAGATGTGGCTCTGTGTGGAGGATGGATCTGAGAGGGGAGAGACCAGTAAGGAGGCCATTGCAATAATTCAGGAATGAGGTAATTAAGGCATTGAACTAGGGTGGCAGCCGTGATAGTAGAGAGAAGGGGATGAATTCAAGAGATATTGTGGAGGTAGCATCTCTAAGGGGATGGTTAGGTGGCCCACTGGCTATCTAAACTCTATAGTTTGGAGCCTGGAGTCAGTGTGACTTTGGGCAAATCATTTAACCCTGTTTGCCTCAGTTTCCTCACCTGTAAAAGGAGCTGGAGAAGGAAATGGCAAACCACGCCAGTATTTTTACCAAGAAAACCCCAAATAGGGTTATGAAGAGTCAGGACTGAGCAACAACAAGCATCTGTAAGACTGACAGCTGATTGGAAGGACACTGTAGGGGGTGGGGTGGGCACAGTGGGAGGCAGAGGAAAGGCAGAATGAGAAGTTAAGGATGAGTCCAAGGTTGCAAAACCAAGTTTCTGTGGAAGGATGGCTGGGGTTTGAGGGCAGAGAGGAGCAGGAAGATGATGAGTTCTCATCTGAATATGTTGAATTTGAGATATACGGAGACATCCAGTTTAAAATGCCCATTTGACAGTGGGTAATGTAGACTGGAGCTCAGGAGAAATTCATGCTGGATATGTAGATCTGGGAATCATTTGTGTAGAGATGATAGCTGAAGCATGATGGCTTTTAACACATCTTTTTGCCTGCCTCCATGTTGTGCTCCCTGGGTGGGTGTACCCCAAAGCAGAGGTGCAGTGGATTGAGGACTGAGCCTTGAATCAGGGGGACTGGAGTTCAAATGTGGCCTTATACTGGCTGAGTGACCCTGGGCCAGTCAACTTCTGACTATTTCAGTTTCCTCAACTGTGAAATGGGAATAATAAAGACATCTACCTCCTAGGTTTGTTGTGAGGATCAAATGTGATAATATTTATAAATCACTTATGGTGCCTGGCACATAGTATACACTTAACAAATGCTTGTTTCCTTCTTTCCAAAGGTCTTTCTTAGGCCCTATTCTGGCTGCTTTCCTTCTCTTCCTATCCTGCCCTCAAGGTTGTGTGTGTGTGTGTACACACACAAACATTGGTGGTAATTAAGAGATGGTAATGAAATCCATAGAAATTGCTGGGATCACCATTTGAAGGTAGTAGAGAGGGGAAGAAGAGAATATGGCCAGAACAGAAAGCTGTCAGTGTGCTCCAGTGGGCCAAAGATGACCTTGGGGGACATCTGCCTTTAAAGTGGAGCTGGAAGGAGGCAGACAGAGGGGTCTAGAAGAAAGCTCTTTCAGCTGGAAGGGGAAGGGTGGCAATCTGGGAAGGCTTCTTTGTGGAAGTGGCAACTGCCCCAGATCTTGAAGGAAGAAGAAATTTGCAAGGATGGGGTTTGTTCTAGGCTAAGTTGGGGGAAATGAGAGAGGGTGGGATGAGATTCAGGAGCAGCAACTCCCACAGGAGGCTATCTCACCATTACTTAAGAATAGTCACTTAATGAATGTTTTCTGAAATGTGAAAAATATGAAGATGTTAAGGACTGTAGTCACAGCCTTGCTATATATACTGTCCTTATGATTCTTCTAGCCTCAGTCTCCTCTGTAGAAAAAAAAAGATCACAATCCCCCCCGCCCCTTCTTTTCTTGGCCTGGTGGGAGGATGGAATGAGATAATAGCTGGGTGTGGTCCCTGGGGTAGTATAGTATGTAACAGCTATCAAAAAGCTGGGGAGGAGAGCAATCAGAATTATTTGATTTTCCTCATTTCCTACTAAAAGGCAGGGTTCTCCTAACACTGTCAGCTTGCATATTTTAACAGTAACTATCACAGGGTAGGTTTATGGTACCACATTAACTCATAGGGAGATAGAGTCTATAAGGCTATGTGGTTATCAGGTGTCTAGGTAGAATGGCTGGCTTTTATTTTTGTTTAACTCTTTGAAGAACTGCCCCCCTTATTTCTTTTCTTCCCCCCCCCCAGGCAATGGATTTTAAGTGACTTGCCCAAGGTCACACAGCTAGTAAGTGTCAAGTGTCTGATGCTGGATTTGAGCTCAAGTCCTCCTGACTCCAGGGCTAGTGCTCTATCCACTTGGACACTTAGCTGCCCCTATAGTGGCGGAGAACAGGAGATTTAACATCAGAAGACCTGAGTTTGAATCCTGGCCCTGCCATTTGCTGCCTCTGTGACTTTGGACAAGTCGCTTCCCCTCTCTGGCCTCAGTTTCCTCCCATGTAAAATGAGGAGGATGAGCCTGATAATCCCTGAGGTTCCTGCCAGCCTTAATCTGAGAGCCCCATGATAGCAAAGGAAAGAGTTTATATTGTGGTCATGTACTCTAGTTCGAAGTGAAGTCAACCAGTCAATAAATATTTGTGTAGTATGTAGTTGTAGGTGCTTATCTACTGCTAGCTAAGCACTGGGGATGCAAGTAAGAAAAAGAAAGTCCCTACCCCCAAGGAGTTTACAATCCAACGGGTGAGACAAGGAGCAAACAAATATATACAGAGCAAGCTATAGACAGGATAAATAGGAAGTGTATAACAGAGGGAAGGCACTAGAACTAAGAGG